AAATAATAGAAGATTACCATTATGAAATCGCTGTTAAAAAAAGGGAGGAGTATATACTGTGTGTGTATGTGTGTTATGTTTTGTTTTGTGGGTTTAAAAAATAAAAAAAAAATAAAAAAAGGTGGCCATATCAATCTTTTAAATAAATATAAATAAAGTAAGACCCACAACCGAAGATTTGGTGCAGACCTAAAGGCTTTATAAATGGAAGAGATTGCCAGAAAAACCTGTAAAATTTGATGAATGCTGTCGAACGTGGAAAGCTGTTCTGGCACACCTCAAATCTGATAGTGCAGCTGCTTCTGTTCAGATTCTTGAAAATACTTATGGATGCCAGGATGCAAATGGCCAGGGGCACGTTTGACGCGATGAGTTGCAGCTTTTAATTATTCTCCCAGCTTTTCCCAACCTAGTGGCTTCCAGATATAAAGATTAAATTAGCCTGCAAGACAGGAATTTCAGAAAACAATTTGTTAGAAGCTGGAATCCAAGAATCAAGCACACAATTCAATGGGCAAGGCCGTAGTCAACATTTCAGGTGATTCATCTTCAGATTAAATCAGAATATGAGACGAAAGAAGAAGCAAAGCATTATCAGAAAATGAAAGAACGGGTTTTACCTGACAAGATTAAAACTGATTTGAAAGTGAAATTTAAGCATGACAGACTACAAGTATGTCAGGGGAACAGATATAAAATAAATACAGATAAATAAATAAATATAAAATAAATTGTAGACATACAAAAGTGGATGTCTTAAAAATTACAAAGGATATACAAATAACAAATCAAGGGAGTGACCCGGATAATTTTCCTATGTTTACAAAAGAGGCTTTTAATTTTGTAAGAAGGGACAAAGAAAAAAAATGTAAAGAAATCAAATCTGAGGACATTATTTGAAGGCACTAAAGACCAAGATGGTTAGAAGTAAAGGGAATGAATATAAAGTTGGCTTATTTGATCAAAGTTACAACATTAGGTAACGTAAGGTAATCCTTAATGGATTTTTTCTGACATCAGAGCTGAAATGACAAGGCTTTATGGATTTGTTTATAGATCAGAGATGGGGCATGGGAAAAAGGATAGTTTGTTGTATTTTAAGAGAAGGTGTTAAGTTACTAAAATTGTTTATACTTGCTGTGATGAAGAGGAAGTCCTTTCCATATATATTTGCTTTTCTTTACTATATTCTAATGTTTTATTTCTTTTCTATTTTCCTTTCTTTTTTCCCCTCTTCATTTCTTTTTCTGCACCTCCTACTTTTTCTTTTTATTCTTTTTTTCAGTTTGCATTAGTTTTTTTTAAAATTTTGTAATAGTAATTTTAATAATTTTTAAAAGTTTGATATGGATTTGCCATTTTTTTTTAATTTGGCTATAAATTCCTGACAGTCTTTCAAACAAGCATTAAGAAGGTTCAGCCGTGCTTAGAGAAGCAAGGAGAGAAGCAACCTAGAACTAAGGAGAAACTTCCTGACAGTTAGAACAATTAACCAGTGGAACAACCTGCCTCCAGAAGCGGTGAATGCTCCAACACTGGAGGTTTTTAAGAAGAGACTGGACCGCCATTTGTCTGAAATGGTATATATAGGGTTTCCTGCCTGAGCAGGGGTTGGACTAGATGACCTCCAAGGTCCCTTCCAACTTTATTATTGTTATTTTGAGATCAGTCAAAATGTTCCTAGATAACTGAACCGCTGCACTATATTTTTAAGTGTATCTTTCTTTTATTGGTTTTATTCCCCTGCTTCTGCCTCAAATCTATTACCTTCCCGGAATGGAATCTAAGGTACAACGCTTAACAAATATAAAATAAACTCAGTAACTTAAAAAAATCAGTTTGGTTTGAGCAACTTGATTTGACGTAGTAAGCTTAGTAAGACCACACCTGGAATAGTGCGTCCAGTTTTGGTCACCACATTACCAAAATAAATAAATAAATAAATAGATGTTGAGACTTTGGAAAAAAATGCAATGAAGAGCAACTTAAGATGATTAAAGACATGGAGACTCAAACATATGAAGAACAGTTGCAGGAATTGGGTATGGCTAATCTAGAGAAAAGAAGGACTAGGGATGACATGATAGTAGTGTTCCAGTATTTGAGGGGCTGCCATAAAGAAGAGGGTGTCAACCTACTACTAATAATAATAAAGTTGGAAGGGACCTTGGAGGTCATCTAGTCCAACCCCATGCTCAGGCAGGAAACCCTATACCATTTCAGACAAATGGCTGTCCAGTCTCTTCTTAAAAACTTCCAGTGTTGGAGCATTCACCGCTTCTGGAGGCAGGTTGTTCCACTGGTTAATTATTCTAACTGTCAGGAAGTTTCTCCTTAGTTCTAGGTTGCTTCTCTCTTTGGTCAGTTTCCATCTGTTGCTTCTTGTCCTGCCTTCAGGTGCTTTGGAGAATAGCTTGACTTCCTCTTCTTTGTGGCAGCCCCTGAGATACTGGAAGACTGCTATCATGTCCCCCCTCGTCTTTCTCTTCATTAAACTAGACATACCCAATTCCAGCAACCGTTCCTTATATGCTTTAGCCTCCAGTCCCCTGATCATCTTTGTTGCTCTTCTCTGTACTCTTTCTAGAGTCTCAGCATCTTTTTTACATCGTGGTGACCAAAAATGGATGCAGTATTCCAAATGTAGCCTTACCAAGGCATTGTAAAGTGGTATTAATATTTCATGTGATCTTGATTCTATCCCTCTGTTAATGCAGCCCAGCACTGTGTTGGCTTTTTTGGCAGCTGCAGCACACGGCTGGCTCCTATTTAAGTGATTGTCTACTAGGACTTTGGAGACCTATTCTCCAAAGCAATCAAGGACAAGACACAATGTCTTGGAGAGAAACTAATCAAGGAGAGAAGCAACCTGGAACTAAGGAAAAACTTCCTAACAGTGAGGACAATTAACCAGTGGAACGGCTTGCCTTCAGGAGTTGTGGGTGCTCCATCTCTGGAGGTTTTTTAAGAAGCGACTGGTCAGTCACTTGTCTGAGATGGTACAGGGTCTCCTGCTTGAGCAGGGGGTTGGACTAGAAGACCTCCAAGGTCCCTTCCAGCTCTATTCTGAATCGAAATTGAAACTTTCACTATAAAAAGATCCTCACTAACCGAATTCTAATGAATCCCTTCTAATAAATTTCAGGATTCAAACCAACAGGAAAAACAAAATAAAAACATCCTCTTCATTCTTTTTTTTTTTCTTATCCGGAGAAACCATTTCTCCATTTCTCCTTCCTGAAGCAAAAAAGTGTTTAGATTATTATAAATCTCACAACTATCTAGAGTTGGTGCAAAGTTGTTCCCTATTGTGCGAATTCCAATAGGTCCATTCCCAACGATGTCAGCGCCCTCTAGTGTACAGCAGCAGTGAAACATCCTCATGTGTTGGACACATTTATTTTGCCTCTCATGAATAACTTCATAAAATGTTGATTATATAGTAGGTGTTAACTGCCACTGATGGGTATCTCAAAGGGATTGTCTCTAATGCTTTGTTGTTTTTTTCTTTGAAATATGATGGTACATGATATGAAGCTTCTTTAGGCAGCACCAAGCCTATAGGTCAGTGGTGGCGAACCTATGGCACGGGTGCCAGAGGTGGCACGCAGAACCCTCTCTGTGGGCACACGTGCCGTCGCCCCAGTCCTAGGCCTTCAGCTGGGTTTTGTAAAACCTTTTCTCTTTAGGCCTCCACCACCATGTGCAAAAAAAAAAAAAAGGTTCAAACAGTCAATTTCAACTTCTCACAGGAAAAAAAAGATCTTGCAAAGTTGGAATTGATTGATTGAACTTTTTAGTCCCACCCAGTCTGCCGTTACCACTGCAGCCACGCCCAGCCAATGGGCCACACCCACCCAGCACTCGACGATGCATAAGTGGGTTTTGGGTTGCAGTTTGGGCACTTAGTCTCTAAAAGGTTCGCCATCACTGCTATAGTTCATATTTAGATAAGCTTTATTATCATTTTATACTGTGGGCACACTGGCACACATTTTAAAAATGAAATTCTTCCCTTCTCCCTGACAGTTAGAACAATTAACCAGTGGAACAACTTGCCTCCAGAAGTTGTGAATGCTCCAACACTGGAGGTTTTTAAGAAGAGACTGGACAGCCATTTGTCTGAAATGGTATAGGGTTTCCTGTCTGAGCAGGGGGTTGGACTAGAAGACCTCCAAGGTCCCTTCCAACTCTGTTATTCTATTCTATTCTATTCTATTCTATTCTATTCTATTCTATTCTATTCTATTCTATTCTATTCTATTCTATACAATGAATCCAAAAGCTCAGAAGACTAAATCTTGGGTCCCAGATTGGATCCTGCAACACATTTTAAAGCCCAAATCTTGGTCAACCTTTTAAAAAGTCCACCCAAAGTATGTTATTAAAATGTCATCAGCATTAAAGGAGACTGGCATTGTCACAAGGGGGAAGGTGTTAGTTTTTGGAACGGAGGTCTACTCGGTAACCAAGGTGGCAATGGACACAGAAATACACTGGAGGCTTTTTAATGTGTTTGTGTGTGTGTATGCGCTCTATATAAAGCAGGCATTTATGGAAGGTATTTACCACAGGGTGATTAGCACACCGCTGGTGTTGGGTTACTGTATGTGTCCTTACCAGCAACTTTGCCCTTGCTGTGTCCTCCTTTTCAGCC